TTACTGACTTCCTACTTTTGAATGGTCGTGTAAATATTTAACATTTTTATGATAAATATATAGGTCCAGACCAAAAAAAAAAAAAAATCACATTGATCTAAACTATGTATGTTATATGTATAAACTATAGTACACTTATTGAAGAGGATAATTTTGACAGTGACGCCTAATTGTATTAAACCCCAACAAACTGCACGAACAAAATACATATAACACAAATCTTAAATATTTAACCAATATTCACCAAATACAGTGAGACAATACACGACATACATATGAGACAATCTACAGTACAATCTCATCTCTGCTTACACGTTATGAACTTTGAATAACAAAAGTAACATACAAATGTAATAAAGAATGTTGATGCATATTTATTGATATCAAAACTGACCTGAGAGAGTGAATCCATTTAATCTCCAGAAAAAGATGCACAGTGACATAAGTTTTGCTTTTGTTGTCTGATGCAATTCTACATTCTGGCCTGAAGGGGCAGTACAAACCACTATTATACATGAGTAAATAAATCATGAATTGGCTGTGCATGCTACAGACTGCTGGAAACAGCATTTGTTTCTTTTGTTGTAATACAATATAATAAAACAATGTATAGCAAGTGACACTTTGAAAGTGATTCCTCTGGAAAATGTAGCTTTCCTGTCGTTTGCACAAAAGCTCTCGATATGGTTTCATTTGAGGATACTCTTTCTTTTTGGAACAGGCTGAATGCTGGACCCACAGTCCAACCACAGATAAATCACTAACATGTGTGCTGCAAAACAGCTTTTCTTTATTTTTTTGGAAAAACAGAATTTTAGTTTCTCTAGGATTGCTGGGCCAGTTTCTGGTACTTCCCCAGATATAAATAGATTGCCTCTGAGAATAAAGATTTCATTAAAGCAGAGATCATAAAAACGTTTTTATTTTCCCATTTTAGGAGTTCAAAGACTCTCTGGATGAACTAGTGTCTTTGTTTCAGAGTCTGGTAAGGCTCAGCTGGGTTTTAATGGTGAACAGATCCATTCCATTCCGAATGTGCCGTTCGTGGCCTGCAGACGCAGTGGAATGTGGTCTAAGTTCATAAGCGTTTCTAGAAAGTTTTGAGTGTGGTTTTGAGTTGTAATGTTTCAGCAACAGATATCCGGTCATGGTAAAAACTCAAGCCCGTCAGAAGCTCAACGTCTCTGATTCGCGTCACGTGAAACTGAACCCAATCCTGGAGCCATGAGTAGTGTGAGCCATTCTGGAGAAATAAATGATAGAACAAAACAGGGTGTGTAAAAAATAGATGCATAATGAGATATGAGAGAAACACAACAATTCCTTTTTTTAATAAACATATTTGATTCATCTCATAAAATCTTTCCATAACTTATTCCATATTATGCTTGCCCTTGTGAAAAAGTACTTAATTTTAAGAGTACTTAAGGAAATAATATACTTTAAGTGTGAACTGAATGTAATGTTTTCAGCCACTTTAAATCTACATTCAATTCAATTAGTTGAAATTTTCAACCTATTCAGGACTTAAGTACATCTTTATATGTAATTTCATATTTAGTTCTATCGTCTTTGAAATATGGTTGAAATGTACTGCCAAATGTTTGTTGTTTAACTAGTTTCATTTTGTTTGTTTTTTTACCGAAGTGGTTAACAAGTTACCTAACAAGCAAGTTACTCAGCTACTTTGTACAATCTTATGGTTGCTGTGGTTCAGATCATGAATGGCTGATCACATACATGACATGTTTCCAGACGATCAGCTCGATGAGGAAGAACGAAAGACACAGCATCTAGAGGACCGTCACACTGTCGGATGGGAAGGGACGAGTTCTTACAGCTTGTAAGAATCACAAAGAAATGTGTCGGGATGGGAGCCCCGTTCCTGAAAGCAGAAGAGAAATCATCTATATGAGGGGAAGAATTCAGTCTAATGCATTGTTAAATA